CTTTCCTTCCCTAGTCAAGCGAGGAAATTAAAGCAAGCGAAAAAGTAAGAGAACTTCCATCCCTTCCATCCCTCTCTTTTCCTCTTGTCGCTGGAAGTCTGTAACTGGTGAAGTACAAAAAGGATTAATATTGAATAAAAAATACACACTCTCGCACTAATGTATCGAAAGTAACTGTTCTATGAAACATTTTTTTTTTGTATTTTGACAGCGATGAACAGCTGCTCCAAAGTGTGTGACAACTTAACACGTATAAAGCCTACAGAAGACTGGCTATCGGAGAGCCGCCTTAAAAGATGCCTTACAACCTTAGATCTCACTTTTTTAGGTGTGGGCTGTGTGTTAGGTGCTGGCCTGTACGTGGTCACAGGGGAATTAGCTCGTGACATCGCTGGGCCTGCTGTTATTATTTCATTTTTCATCGCTGCTGTTGCTGCCACTTTGTCTGGGATTTGTTACGCGGAGTTTGGATGCCGTATTCCCAAGGCCGGCTCCGCATACATGTACTCGTATGTGACTGTTGGAGAGTTTTGGGCGTTCGTTGTCGGTTGGAACATGATTCTAGAATATGTCATCGCTGCTGCAACCCTGGCGCGCGCCTGCAGCGAGTATATCAACTCATTTGCTCAGGGTTATATATTCAAGTTCTTTATGAACGATATAGCCACATGGAACGTTTCTGGCCTCGGAAGCTTTCCTGACTTCTTGGCATTCACACTGGTCTTTGCGGCTTCTTTTATTGTCTCGCTGGGAGCACAAAAATCATCTCTTGTGAATAAAATCGTAACCTTCGTAAACTTAGCCGTCATCTTGTTCATTATCGTTATTGGATTTTACTTCGCCGATGGGGAGAACTGGAAACCAAAATTTGCCCCCTACGGGTTTCGAGGTATCTTAGCAGCTGGAGCAAGCTGCTTTTTCGCCTTCGTTGGATTTGACGTCATAGGATCGGCGGGAGAAGAAGCTATCAATCCCAAGCATTCGTTACCCTTCTCTACCATTCTTACTCTTGCGATAAGTTTCTTGGCGTATTTTGGAGTCGCAACGGTGCTTACATTAATGATACCTTATCATAAACTGAGCCCCTTTGCTCCTCTGGCTGAGGTTTTTGTTCAACGTGGGTTGAGCAGCGCCAAATACGTCGTGGCAATAGGTGGGCTTTGTGCAACAATGAGCACCCTGGTGGCCAACTCATTCGCAGGCCCACGTATTGCATACTCCATGGCGTCTGACGGATTGTTATTCAACTGGTTTGCGCATGTGCACGAGAAGACAAAGGTTCCAGTTCGTGCGGTTTTGGTTGAAGGAAGTTTAGCTGCAATCCTTGCTTTGCTTCTTGACGTAAAGCAACTGGTAAGTTTCTTAACTGGAATCAATTTGTTTAAATTTTAAAACTCAAAGCAAAATCGAGTCTCATGCGAGAGCTGTCTGACACATGGTTCACTTGCGAAGCTGTCGAAGTATCTTATTGTTAACATAACAGGTAACTTAGTAGAGGTGGGCGTATTTCGTAGAATATTCAGTGAACGTTTTACAGCGGAAATAAAATTTTAGACTGAATTTGAATTATTCTCCGCATGGTAACTCTTTTTAGCATTTAGCAACGACAAAATTTCCCTTTGACGCCAACTGTAGCTCAGAACTGAAACCTTAAAAAAAGGAAACGTAAAAAAACACGGTTTCCATTTGAACGCGTTGTGGTTAAGGACTCCATAGAGAACGTTCAACATTCACTGAGAAAAATGTTGAGGGTATTTTTAATTCTTAAAACATCATACTGTATCATATCACTGGCATCGTTCGTAAGCAATATGAAGCGAATCCTGTGTTCTGATTGGCAACATGGGCCCATCTTGCCCGCTTTGGATTACCTGCTTTGATCGTCGCGTGGAGCAGACTTACAAAATTCGTAATTTTTGGACAATATCGGCGAAAGTGTCGCAAAAAGCGGCAGAAGACAATCAAACCAAAGAAAACACAAACGACTGTTGTGGGTTTATTGTGCTATAAACACAGTTAGCTTTCTTTCCGGCTCTTATTATTGATTCTTTTATTAAAATGAAGCGAAATCTTTTTGCTTTATCTTTATAATAAATCCTTTGTTGACCAAGCTTGTTCGGTCAGGATGGCTGGATATTAGCCGAGTTCCTCTTTTGTGTTTTCATACACTCGATTTCGTCGCGGTCCATGAAAACGCAAAAAAAAAAGAACTCGGCCAATATCCAGCCATCTCACCTCACTCTTAGTATGTATTTTTCACATGTATTTTCAGGTGGAATTGTTGTCTATTGGTACCTTAATTTCGTACACCATAGTAGCTATTGCTGTGTTGGTGACGCGTTACACTCCTGGAGTACAAACCGTC